AATTAATTTTCTTTTTCACAAATGATCAAAAGGGGAAGGGCCTTTTCCTCTAAACGTAAGAAAATCATTATCAAGCTAACAGACTGAAAATATGGAAGTTATGAGTATTTTATCGAAATGGAATAAACGTCAAAATGTCATTTTTCTTAGCACACAAACAAGCCAAATTCTCAATTGTCATTCTATAATTTAAAATGATTTCAAACATACATTTTAGTTCTCTCCTCTCAAAACTATAAGTTATAGGTTTAAGATAAAATGGACAATTATTTAGAATGTAAAAACAAATTGTACTATTATGTTATAATAAATTTTGATAACATGTTTATAAATTTTAAAATTTTTTTTGTTTTGTTTAATAAAATATAAACTTTTTCATTAGTAATAAAGATATTTCATTTTATACTTATTTTTTATATGTAATTTTACTATTGTTTAATAGTGGTAATATTTTCTTATCTCTTTACATTGACATTTTAAAATTTTATCTAAATATTAGAATATTTATATAATACAATGATAACTTACAAGATAAAATAAAATCAAGTGTTTAATAATTTTTAGTAGACAAGAAAGACAACTTATTAAAATATAAACTTATAAGATATACAGTAATATTATATTATAAAATTTAAAATAAAAGTTGGTACATCATACAAATTAGTAACTAGTCAAGATGATTAGTTAGCTATCTATTTCCGTTTTCGTTTAATTTGGACGTCTAATGAACTTGTGTTGTATATCCCATTATGAAAAGATGATAGGTATGGATGGAGACTGTATGACCCACTGGGTGAGCATATATGAATGAGCTTCACCCAAAACAATCAAAACGAAAGAAAATTATTTAAAGGGATCAATCATTTCGCACTAAAAATTTGTTAATGCAAATTAGATTGACGTTGAAATATTTATGTAATTGTAGCCACAAGATCTTGTTTATTGCGCTGAGTTGAATCAACACGCACATCCGTCATTCCATTTCATTATCTCTATAGAAGGATAAAAATGAGACAACTCAACGCATAGAACACAAACAATGGGAAGAAGAAAGTTACCTTTGCAAATTTTGAAGAAGTGTCGCTTTCATCCTAAATGCCTCTGATTGTTAGCATAAGGCTCAGCAAATTACCATGCTGGTTGTCAGTACATGCATCGTGCATATAAGGGATGGGAATGATTAGGAATGGTGTTCTAACTTTTGATGGCTCATCCATTTGGTTTTAGAAACCTATACTACTACTAATAATAATATATTTTAAATTAATATATATCAAAATACTGTCCTTTAGAAAAAATTATAGAAATATAGACTTAATTATATATATATATATATAGAAATAGAAATTCATATATGGAACAATTAAAAATTATAAAACTATCAAAAATAGTAATGATTTTTTTAAAAGAATATTAAATATAGTTAAAAAAATAAAACTCGTCAATAACAATCTTTAAAAATATGATAAAAATTTTAAATTACTAAAAAATTTCAATGATAAAAACTACCTTCCATTTTTTTATATATTTTTTTAAAATTTATATTTTAGTAATTTAAATTTTTTTCATATAAAAAATCACAATAATAATAATAATAATAATAATAATAATAATAATAATAATAATAATATGTTGCACTATCGGATCCAAATAATGTTTTGGAATCGAAATTAAAGATAAAATTGATAAGACTTTTACGCTCTTACATTCAGCTAGTTAACTTTGTTGTTAAATATGATTAATCTATTGTTGTATAAGATAATATTTTAAGTGAAAGCACAACTACTGATTTTTATGATCCGAGAAATTTCGAGGATAATTCAAACAGTACAAATAACCAAAATGAACTGAAAAAAAAAAAAAACAAAGATAGATTCGAATGAATTGTCAAGTTTAAATTTAAAAATCAGTCCAATCTAATTAAACTAAAATTGTATATAATTTCAATTTTTAATAATAAATTTTCTAAATATGAGTAAATTTACTCACATATTTAGAAACTTTGTTATTATAATTATGTCAAACTTAATCTTGTTGGGAACTTGGAAATACATAGGGAATGTGTTTATATTTTCACAAATTCATCTAAATATAATGTTTCGATTTAGTTGAGGCTTTTATCACTGAATAAATTTTTTCATATTTTGATGATTTTATATATTAAAAAATTATATTTTTAAACCCAAAAGACAAACTACTTAAATTAAATTATATTTATATTCAAAACTAAATCAAACGAAGAATATCAACAAAAGCCTTGTCAGCTAGATTAGATCTAATGAACTACATACCCGTTTTAAAATTGATTCAATCTAATGCACTAGTCAAATTTCAAAACATTTGACTAATGTAAATCACTTCATGGATACATGAACATAATTATAACGAGAAGAAACGGAAAAACTTTAATTTTTTCCAATCCCCATAGCTTAATGAGATTTCACCTAAAAAATAGGACACCAAATGGAATCGTGTAATGTTCGTAACGCAGAACAACGTGGGTTTGTGCCAAAGCGCCACAAATGTAGGCACATATGAATTAATGAGCGAAGCCGACGTGACCCATGCAATCGTGAATGTGAATTTGGACCTGAATGAGCACCCATTGTTTTAGTTATTAAATTATAGTAACTACAGCATAGTAAGGTGGGTCATTATCCGTCGTTTCAGGCTCAACTCAAGTCAAATTAATGGCATGTTCCATTACCATTAACGAAGCAACGAAGAAAGAATCCTATGGCTTTGCACTGTCTCAAGCTCCCTTTGGTTTGTGCTAGATATTACCACTTTGCATCTCTTTCTTAAAAAGAGAAACAGAGAAATCCCCACTTTCCTTTTCTTCATGCCTTGTTAGCTCGACAAGCTGGCTTTTATTTTTTGTACCTTATTTTAAAAGTAAAATCAGACCCAAATAAGAAAAGGGTCATGTGGCATTTTGAATCTTTGATCACTGTACGTTCCATTCCATTGGACACATTAGTTGGCAACTTTTTTTCTTGCGTGAGATCAATTGGGTGGCTTCTTGTATACCTTTTTAGACTAATGATATGTTCTGTCCATGAATCATCATTCATTCTCAGTCTGCAAAAACTTAATATACATGAGTAAATAAAAATAAAGCGCGTTCCACTGGAACTGCCAGCGGAGTTATAAAGCGCGTTCATTTATGAATTCTAATAGCGGCAGTTTATTTACTCATACGACACTTATCAATTATTACTACCATTTCCTTATGAGTACAAATTATTGCTACTATTTATGGTGCTTACTTACATGTACTTTAATTTTAACATCATTAGTGTGCAATTTCATTTAAGAAATTTAATTTAACTATACTGTTAATTCGTTAAAAAAAGTTTATTATCATTTACTAGTATAATCTATTAAAAGAAAATAAGTTTTGATTTAGATTTTTTTATTTTATTTTTAAGTTCATAATTACTATCCTTACCATACTAATTAAAATGATTAAGTAATGTTCACTCAATCCCAAAAGAATGAAAACCTTTTATTTTATTTTCTTTAATTCTATCTTGTTTAATAGAATGAAGGTGTATTATTTTCTTTTCGTAATAAATCAAAGATAAATTGAAAGTCATATTATATTATATTATATATATATATATATATATATATATATATATATATATATATATTTTCATGTTATACGATACATGCCAAATGTTACTTTAAAGTTTTTCAACTCTTAAAAATTTAAATGTTCTTCCTAATACTTAATAAAAAATTAAATAAAAACGTTAATTAAGATTCGTATAATGAACTTTAAATATAACACCAGTAAAATATATGTTTAACAGTCCCAATTACATTAATTAAAGAACCAAATATAAAATTTATATATTAAAAATATTATTGATAAACTTGATTCTGTTTTTAAATGAACTTTTAATAAAAAAAATATTATTAATTTTTTAACTAATGTCCTAAAAGTATTTATTAGCAAAATTATAAGTTTTGCTTTTATTTATTATTTGAATATCGAAGCACATGAATAGTTTTAGTTTAAGGGATAAAAAAGAGATGTTAGATGAGGAAAAGAAAAACTCAAAAAACATAAAAGAAATTTGTCAAAACATCTCTCTATATATAATGTTAATTGTCTATTGATTTATTAAATAACACTTTTAAAACACTTGTGTTTTTTTCTTTTCTTGTGTGTGTGTGTGTGTAAAATTTATGTTAAATAGGTATATTTTGTTTTTCTTTTATGTTTCACATTTAACATCTAATCATTTGTTAAGTAAAATTGCCTCTTATAAACAACATATGTTTTTGTTTTCTTCAATCTATAAACAATTTTTAAACTGTAATATTGCGTACATGTTTTCTTCTTATTTATAAGTTTATAACAAAGATGAATAAATAATACCGATTTTCTATACACTTTTATTATTTATTAAATTTTATTATAATTATTAAAATTTATAAAACTATACATGAAATTCATTACAAAAAAGAATAAGATTCGCATTATTTAATAAACTATTAATATATCTTGTTTAATGTAATAAAAATGTGTTAAAAAGAAACACATTAACTGATATATATAATATTTTCTCTAAAAAATTTCACTTTTTAAAAAGTATTCTTTCATTCCCACATATTTTTAAATAAGGTTTAACTTTTTTCAATTTAAACTATAAGTATGTTTTTAAGAGACAATGTTATTTTTTTTTAAAAAAAAAGTCATGAACGACAAAATTTTTAAATAGTTTAGCTTTGATATATTATTGATATAAAATAAATTACATAATTAATTAAAATATATAATAATATAATTTTTAAATTAATTACTATATAAATTGATTATTTATATTAACATAGTAATATATGATTAAAAATTTACATTATTGATATCAATTAATTTTCTTTAAAAATTATTATTAGCTTCAATTTGTCCTAATTTGTTTTCCTCCCAAGTCCTAAATTATCGAAGTAGCAGTATTATATTGTCCCGTAAACAGTGTCTGTGTCACGATCGGACAGTACAAATTCTGCTTCCTCATACACAGTCTCAGTGTTTCTCTCTCTCTAATTTCCAAAGCACGGTAATCATTCGACGAAGCGAGTGAGTGAGAGAGAAGAATCTCTGATCCACACAGAGAAACCAGAAATCCAAAGCCAAGGACAGACAACTTGCGTTCTTCTTGTGATTTGTGTTCCAAGCAACCAACCACAACCACAATCCCATAAATCAATTCCACACACCTTTTTTCCTTCATTACACTTCTTTCTTCATCACACCCTCCCTAAAACAAACAAAACTATCAGGTACCAGTACCATTTTCCCCCCTCGTTTGATCAAATGAGTTTGTTTCCCTTTGCTCTTCCTGTGTTTCTACTGCTATTTGAACACGGTCTTCTACTACTATTTTCAAAGAGAATGAGCTTGTGCTATAGTTAGTAGCTAGTGACTCACTAGTAGTAACTAGTAGTTTCACTGCTCTGTTACTGTTAGTTACCCACCAACCCATTTACTTTACACCTCCAATTGCTTCTCAAGTTCTGTTTTTTCTTTTATGAATGGTGGTACATACCCATTTTCAATACTGGGTCCGTGATGGATCTGATGCGGTGAATTAATTACTGCTCTGCCTTGTCGTTATTCCCCTGTTTTTGATTCCCCAAAGACAGAAAGTTTGCATTTTTCTTTTTCATTTTTTATTTATTATATAATAATATTAAAACGGTTTCCTAACTCAAGTGTTCTAATGCACGCCATCAAGTTTGACAATTGACACGGTATCTCCTTTTTTTTTTTTTTTGTGGGATTGTAGGTGTGAATTTGCTTAACTGGAGCCAGATTCTGTTGATGATTTTCTGCCCAAAAATCCTAATGGTGCTGGAATAAATAACACTCCCTGTATTGGTTTCTGGGTCGGTTCATATATTATTTAAGTGTTAACATTTATTTATAGTTGAACTTGTTTGAGCAACTTCAACTGTTGTGGTTGGTCAGAGAATGTCTAGGCCTCTGCAAAGAGGTGTGTCTGGGGTTAGGGTCCCTGACAGTAGCTATGACTTGTGGGACTCCCAATCTAAAGATAAAACAGAAAAGGAAGATTTGGATAAGAGGGGTTCTTCAGATCATAGCCCTTTTGCTTTGAGGTTTCCTTTGAGGTTGCTTTTTGCAAATAATTCTGATTCTAAATTTGGCAATGGCATAACTGAGAATGGTTTTGCTTCTGATCCCTTCATTGCTGGCACCCCGCGGAGCCGGCTTAAGTTGATGTTGCTTTCTTTGAAGTTTAGTTTAGTGTTTATAGTTGTTCTTGCTCTTACTGGATCCTTTTGGTGGACCTTGTCAATTTCATCCTCATCAAGAGGTCACATTTACCATGGTTATAGAAGACTCCAAGAGAAGCTTGTGTCAGATTTGTTGGATATTGGTGAGATTTCTCGCGGTCCCTTGAGGGCTAAAGAGTTGGAATTCTGTTCTCCGGAGTTGGAAAACTTTGTTCCTTGCTTTAATGTTTCTGAGAATGTAGCTTTGGGATATTCTGATGGCAATGAATTTGACCGACAATGCGGCCATGAACCAAGGCAAAATTGTATAGTTCTCCCACCTGTGAATTACAAAATTCCTCTCAGGTGGCCTACTGGAAAAGATGTTATTTGGGTTGCTAATGTGAAAATCACTGCACAGGAGGTTCTTTCTTCTGGTAGCTTAACCAAGAGGTATGTGACATACTTTCTGCAACACTTTCAGTTTTATCTTTTTCTTCCTAATGTTTTTATTTGTTATTAATTACAGGATGATGATGCTGGATGAAGAGCAAATTTCATTTCGTTCAGCCTCTCTTATGTTTGATGGTGTTGAAGACTACTCACATCAAATTGCAGAAATGATTGGGCTTAGAAATGAGTCTTACTTCATACAAGCTGGGGTAAATATACATTTGTGATCTCTCTTGAAATTGGCACATGGAGTGTTTTTTGCTTGATTTTTTTTTTGGTGGCCCTTGTCCATTATACTTACATTCACTGATTTGGTACATGATCACTGTAGAATTCGGCATACTTAATGGCATCTATTTTATTATAAAGGAGTTGGTATCTCCTTTGACTTTAAGTTGACTCTAATACCAATATTATAATATTTAAATATAAACTATCTTGATGAAATGATCGAATGAGTATTCAACTATTCAGTGTGTATAAAACAGTATCCTTCTATATGTCATAACTGTTCTAAGCTTGTACCTTCTAGAATTGTTTGTTTTGGTCGCATTGGATCTGAACTGAGTTCTTAAAATCTGACTTTGACATTCCTTGTCTGAAATCTTATTTGATTGAGAATGTTGGCATACTAAAATTTGCAGGTTCGAACCATACTAGACATAGGTTGTGGCTATGGTAGCTTTGGAGCACACCTCTTCCACAGTCAGCTTTTAACTATGTGCATTGCAAACTACGAGCCTTCTGGCAGTCAAGTTCAGCTCTCTCTCGAGAGGGGTCTTCCAGCTATGATTGCTTCTTTCACTTCAAAACAGTTGCCATATCCATCTCTATCCTTTGATATGTTACATTGCGCAAGATGTGGCATCGAATGGGACCAGAAAGGTATTTTTTAACTTTCCGTTGGGTCAACACGGTTCTATGATTCTGTCATATTTTGTACTTATTCGACAAAAACATTTATTTCCTGGATTATTTAGATGATTCGTCGTACATTATACACCATTGGAAGAATAAATTAGTTGCATCAAGTATGAAAAGAATCCATTCCTTGGTTCTTTGATGTATGCTTTATAGGAAAAGAATCCATTATACACCATTGGTATTCTGTCAACGTTAAAACATGAGGGCTAAACATCTCTTTGGGAAAAATATTCATATTTATCTCTTTGTTGCGGGGATTTTCCCATAGTTACATGAGTTAATATTTTGCTTTCGGCAGCCTTCCAACTTTAAATGACTAATTAATCCCTTAACTGCCTAAGTCTAGGTTGTAATTATTATCTCTTTTTCTTATGGTATAGAGGGAGCCATGTTCATAGAGAAAATTGCTCATTGTTCTAGTTGTTAATGTTCAAATATTAAAAGAAAAATAAGTAGACACCCTTTATTGTTAATTGCCATACTTGCTGAAATATCCAACAAACGGGGGTCTATTTTTGAAATTCTGCACGAAGGCATTGAAGCTAATCCTTCAAATGCCTTTATTCTTTTTGTTAATTCCCCTTCTTTTTCATGTCGGAACTAAAAGCTGAAAATTTTGATCTGGTTGTAGAACCATAATTTTAATTTATTTGTATTTTTTTATTAATGTTTATATTTATGTAGAGCTATAACCTGAAATATTTTAGCATATTGTGTTCTTATTAATGTTTATATTACATCATATAGATGGTATTCTCTTGATTGAAGCTGATAGACTTCTAAAACCGGGCGGATACTTTGTCTGGACATCACCGCTTACAAATGCTCGTAACAAAGAGAATCAGAAAAGGTGGAAGTTTGTACAGGATTTCACAGAAAATCTTTGCTGGGAAATGTTGTCACAGCAAGATGAAACTGTTGTATGGAAGAAAACTAGTAAAAAAAGTTGCTATACTACAAGGTAACTCTGCCATATATTTACTTGTGAGAAATTGTTTCACTTTTGTATAACCTGGGAAACAGATTTGTAGTTCATAGATTCTATACCATGTTTATGTATCTGTTCACCACTCTAAAATTAATGTGGCCTCATTCTTAACATTGCTATTTTTACTGCAGAAAGCCAGGTTCTCCTTCTTTATGTGGTAGAGGTCTTGATTTGGAGTCTCCACATTATCGAGAACTGCAAAACTGCATAGGAGGAATACAGAGCAGCCGTTGGGTTCCGATTGAAAAAAGGGAAAGATGGCCTTCTCGGGCTAACTTGAACAAGAATGAGTTAGCAATCTATGGTAATTGTTATGTTCTTGAAAACTGACTGATAAAGCTCTTCATGGAAGTGATTGCATTGTAATTGTACTGTCTTATTGAATCAAATATCCTATTTAGTTGGTTTACTTAGTCTCTCCATATTTAAATGTGCTAGGCTTACAGTCTGATGAATTTGCTGAGGACTCTGACAGCTGGAAAACAGTGGTTCAAAATTATTGGTCGCTTCTGTCACCTTTAATATTTTCTGATCATCCAAAAAGGCCTGGTGATGAGGACCCTTCACCACCTTACAACATGTTCAGAAATGTGCTAGACATGAATGCCCATTTTGGTGGCTTTAATTCTGCGTTGTTACAAGCTAGAAAGTCTGTTTGGGTCATGAATGTTGTCCCAATAAGTGGACCTAACTACCTTCCCTTGATCCAGGACCGAGGTTTTGTTGGCATTTTGCATGATTGGTATTTTTCTCTCCTTTCTCTTGTTCTTAGTTCAACGTGTCATACTTATCTGCTTCCATCAATTTGTTTGCTTAGCTTGATAAGAATTCTCTGGAACAAGCTAGATTCTTCTTTTTTTCTTCCACATTTTAACATTAACACTTTGTGAACACACTCGGTTTTCGAGTTCTGGTAGATGTAGAAAGAATCAAACATCTGAAATAAATAAATAAATAAATAAAAACTTCATTGTAATAAAATTGTAAACTGATAAAGGCAGAAGCTTATACGTATGCTGAAGTTTTACAACATAATTACAGATTCCCCAATTATCAGTTACCATATGAAGGGTTGCAGTTGTTTTGTTAAGTAACTCTAGAACTATTGAAATTTGAAAACATGAAATTATTTGCCGTAAGAAAGAGCACTGTTTATCATAGCTGACAAATAATTAAAACACTATGATTTAACCTTTACTTTTCCAATTTCCTCTGGCTTAAGAATAATAATTTGTAAAGAATAGTTGCTAGGTCCTACACATTTTATAGTTTTCTTACAATTATGATTTTTGGTGGCTTCTAGGTGCGAGGCCTTTCCTACATACCCTAGAACCTATGACTTGGTGCATGCAGCAGGACTTTTATCCCTTGAAACTGAGCAACACAGATGCACCACGCTTGATCTGTTCATTGAAATTGACAGGATACTTCGGCCAGAGGTATGTGAACTTAATATTGTGGGCTTTATTCGTGGTCCTTTCCCTTTATTTATATTTCACCTTGTTTCCTTAGATAAGTGACTTTTTGTGATTGAGGGTGTGTTGTTATGATGGCATAACGATATACTAGCATGAAGCAACAAAACAGGTTGAGCATAACTGGATTTGAGTCTATCAACGAGATAGGATAGTAAAGTTGCAGCCTTTTCACTCTCAGCAGTAGACAATGTCCCTGAATATGCATATATTTGTGCATTGCATAAAAAGTTATCTATGTCCATTTTTTACTCGTTCAATGACAATTTTGTGACCTGTTTAATGCTGGCAAATTGGGTCAAACTTTTTCCCATTAACCTTCTACATCTTTGTGAAAGTGGACATTTAATTTCTATTGAACCTAAATAGCTAAAGGTTTGCTCAATAATGTGTTATGTGGGTTGATCTGTAAAATGTGTATGAATTGGGGAGCCCTTCTATTGTGTGAAAGTTTGATTTGTATTGCCTTGCTAGCTAATTTTATATACTTTGATAAAAGGAAAAGGTTAAAAATCCTGAGTGTTTAATGCCCTTTTGAGTTACATGCAAGGACTTATGATATGCTGACATGGTGACATTGGTCATGTGTGCAGGGTTGGGTTATAATTCGCGATGCCGTACCTTTAATAGAATCAGCTAGAGCTCTAACAACACAGCTGAAATGGGATGCACGAGTTATAGAAATCGAAAGTGACAGCGATCAGAGACTTCTGATCTGCCAGAAACCTTTCTTTAAGAGACAAGCAAGCTAATTAATTGAAAGCCTGAAGAAATTAGACTATAATATACATATATTCAATTCCATATGTTCATTTATTAGCATAAAGCTCCACCATACAAAGTGGAGACTGAAAATTTTGGACAAAAAGGAAGCCAATGAAAAACAATATAGAGGAAACAGTGTATCCTTGTTGTGAATGATACCACCACTTCATCTATGTAGCCGTAAGGTGTACATAGGGCCATGTAATTACCAAACAAGCCACAGAGCAGATGAGAAAGTATACTGGTAGGTTTACTTTTCCATGTGACGTCTCATTAGAGTTTATTCAAAAACAATATTAGAATTGGGAAGATGGTGATAGAATAATTCACTATTATGGTGTATAAAATGCCCAGTGGTTGATTCCCCCTTATATTATAGAATAAATTTTTCTCCTGTCATTTTATAGGTTCTTGGATGTCTCTTGTATAAGCTTGGCAAAACTGTACTTCAAAGTTTGTCGGTGTTTATAATATGAAATCAAAATCATATTCTTCATCCGTTCATTGCTGAATGTACAAGACTTCTGGATGGATGCAGTCATTGATAATTTGGAATAAATAGTAGCTAGTGGCATTTGCTGCGACTGTTTTTCTGTTTGTCTTTGGAATTTAGTCAAAGATAAATAAGGGTCTTGAAACAATTTTTCTTCCATAATTTTCGAAGTAATATATCATCTTCTATCTATAAACAAAATATATCTTCCGTCTTCCTTAAACAAAGTTCAGAATTACATGGGATGAATTATGTTATAATTTCGGTCTTTATTTGACGTAATTTTAAATTATAATATGGTAAAGTAGTTTCATGACAAATAGAGATATTGTGCTAAATATGTAGAATAAAAATTTGTAGAATAAAAGCTAATCCATTTTTATAAAATAATTGTCTGTAACCTTGTTCTCTCTTGTTTGGTAATATTGGCAAAAATTAGTTTACAGTTTAAATAGTATTTTTGTCTTTATAATTTATTCACATTTATAAGTTAATTCTTGTACATAAAAAATTTGTAAATTAATCTTTATATATATATATATATATATATATATATATATATATTTTATTTTTTATTTTTTTTGTTATTTACTTCCTACTATTATGTTTAAACTAAACCAAGTTAAATAAATTTAATTTAAATAATATTTTCGTTTCTATATACTTGACTTATATTTATAAGTTGATCTTTGCATATAAAATTTTTTTACATCAGTCTTTACATATAAATTTATTTTCAATTTACTCATAGTCCAAAAAATATATTAACTTTCCATTATTAAGGATGTCTTTGATGCCATCAATGAAATCGAGCTAGAAATCATGAATTGTCTTGCAAAGGGACAGCTCTATTTGCTGAGCAACTTCCATTTTCATAATTTGAAGTACTCTCTCTTAAATCTCATGGCATAATTTCTTGTAATTTGTCATTTTAAACTACAATCTTTGTAATTCATAGAGTACACGTACACTGCACAATGAAACGACAAGCATGACGCAAATTATCATAATTTAATTATAATTTATCAAAATCTTAGTTCTCGTATGAATTTGTATTTGTTAATTTTTTGTGTTGAACATAATTGAAAGAATGAGATCTACTTAAGAAAAGAAGAATATGTCAATGCTATAGAGGGTGCTTTTGAATAAGATAACATAAGATGATATAAATATCTAAGTAAGCAACAACTATGAATTTCATGGTATAATTAGCAAGAGAGAAAGAGATTTTATCCAGTAGAGAAAAGTTAAGAAAGTAAGGTAAAACCTAACATTACTTTGGCCATAGATGTAAATCAACATTTTCTATCAATGTTTCATAATAATTTTTAAAAAATTTAAATAGTATTTTTATTTTTATACTTAACCTTTGTATTTGTAAGTCAATACGTATAAAAAATTTGTAAATTAATATTTATATGTACATTTATTCTTAATTAGCCTCTTATTTATAAGATTATTTAATTTAAACATAACGACAAAGACTAAATAAAAAATAAATATATGTATAAAAATTTATTTATAATTTTTATATATTCAGGAACTAACTTATAAATAAATATAAAAATAATAAATACTATTTAAACCTTAGTTTATAACTTTAGATGAATTTTATGACAAAGAAAAAATATATTTTTTAATAAGTAAGATTTTAGAGATTATAATTTAAAGATAATAAAAAAAATTAGTTAATTATTGATTTTTATTTTATCCTTAACAATAAACTATTTTAAATATAAAATTAATTACAATAAATATTTTTTATATTTATTTTTTATAATTTTACTATAAAATAATTAATTAATAAAATTTAAACAAAATAAATTATCTTAAAATTATTTTTCATTTGATACATCTAAACATAAAATTAATTTTATATCAAAATATTTTATTAAAAAAAATAATTCAAACACACACTAAATGATGTTGGAATACATATATATTTCTTCACCAAAAAATCGTTTTTTTAAAACACTTAACAAATGCAACAATATCAACCATTATTATTCCCATAAAACTTTAACTCTTAATATATTGAAATATTTAATGATTTATTAAAAAAATTATACAAACTATTAGCACTGATAAAATGGGCTATTGGGTCATTCTGGTCGATCCATTATGAGCAACAAACTTTAATAGACTGGATAAAAAAAAAGTCCAAAAAGGCTGATAAAAATATGCCGTAACTCCAGAGGTTTCATATTTTTTTCACAGGTTTAGCTTACATAACTAGAGACTTAAAATTTTAAATTTAATTCAAATTTAAAATTTAAAGTTTTTTCTACATTTTATCAAGAAGATTTGAGTTTATCCATTTTATTAGCTTCACAAACTATAATTATAGAATAAATTTAAATAATTGAAAAAAAATAGAAGTTTAGAAAATGAAAAGCATAGCGCATCCCCCTTTCCCCATTATTTTACCATAGTATGAGAAAGTTATAAAATAATTAAGTAAATATCTAATGCTGTTAATTTTATTATTATTTTTTAGTATTTTTATTTCTATTTTAATTATTAACTTAAAAAAGAATACATTTATATTTATAATAAAAAATACATGTATAAATTCATCCTAATAAATTTGACGTAAAATACATTAACTTGTGATAGTATAAATATCTTACATTAATCTCTAAAAATCACAATTACAAGCCCTATTGGTTCTTTTCAACACCACACATTAATTCTTAAAAAAGTAACATAAGTTACATTTGTGATTTTTAATAACTAAAATACATATTTATAATTTTAAGATTTGATATATCTATGATTTTTTTTTGTTACTAAAATGATTTTTTTTTTTTTTATGGACAGTTGCGTACTCTCTATTATAATAAGAGTCTTACTTTAAAAGAAACTAATAAACATAGTTTTATTAAAAATGTGATAAGATATATTAAAAATCATAAAAGTAATGTATTTTTATTTTTTTTTAACACTTTTTTTAATTAGTTAACTAGCACCCTTATATTTTTTTAACACTTTTTTTAATTACTTAACTAGCACCCTTATATATATTTTTTATAATAAATAAGTTCATCTTAATGAGAAGAATTACCCACTACATATGAATTATGATCTTATTAAACAGAAAAGTAAGATGTTGAACACAATGTTAAATATGTTTTAGCTCTGCACCATTATGTAACCGACCTTAGCTCAGTTGGTAGAGCGGAGGACTGTAGTTGGATAAAATTCGAACAGATATCCTTAGGTCGCTGGTTCGAATCCGGCAGGTCGGAAAGCTTTTTCTAACCTTACTTTTTGCTAAAACCTACTTTTATTTTACACTTTGTCAATCTTCCCTTAAAATTTGAAGTAAATAAAAATAAAATAAAATATTTGAACTATTCTGTCGAATGAAACCTTACTGTTTATGTAAGTTTAGACTTCCATATAAGTCTTGGCTTCAGCAACCTTAAGTTGGGTTTAATCGGCGAAATGTTCATGAACATTTTATTATGTTAAATGTAACTGTATTTAGTATATGTAAGGTATTGGTACACATTGAGTATATATAGGTTATCTTAATATGAGTATAATTTTAATGCATAGAGTATATTTAAGTTATATGCAGCACGAAAGTGTGATTTAAAGTACAATTAATTATGCCTTAAGCATCAATATTTTTAATGATTTTGTTAACATAAGTTGTAAGGTTGATTTTAAGTATCTGAAATTTATTTTTTTTAAATATTTACTATACTTCTATATTAATGAGTGATATTTTTTTCTGATTTTTTCAAGATTTTACTAAAATTCTTGTTTCTATACTTTTAAAAAAATGTTATGTTTCAATTTTATTACAAATTTTCTAAAATTTTGAGGATTTTAAATATACAAATTGGAACAAAAATTACATAATTTTTAAAAATAGAAAGATCTAATTAATTAAAAAACTTTAAAAATTAAAATCATACACAATTCAAACTTTACAAACTAGTAATGTAATTAAACCTTTTATATATAAGTTTTCAAGGAATGGTTAACTTGGAAAATCTGCAAGAAATGGCTTAAGTTTGCATGTGTACATTAATTACCAGATAAATCAGCAAACAACTACAAATAACATGGCATACACCTTCTGCCTGCTTTTTTTTCTTCAACACTATCATTTGTGTGAAATGAAATTATAATTATAAAACATCATAATTGAAAGTAAAAAGAAACTAATATGGGATCTATCAGATTTTGTTTTCTGCTTCCAATTCGCACTAGCTGTGCACTATAAATGTATTTCAATGGTTTTTTTTCTCTTTTTTGGTCATGATATTTCAAGGTTCTTGACGCATGTTTTGAGCTACAAAAGGGAAAGATGAGTGATTCAATTCACTGTAAAATGGGTATTAAAATAAGGGTTAAGGAATATTAATGATCCTAAAACGATGATAATATATATAAAGTAGTGGAATAATTTTTTTATTCTATTGTGTTTCAATCAATTCATTCTATTTTAACAAATTTCATTAAACTCTGTTTCCTTTCATTCAGTTAAACACACACACAGAATTTTGTAAGAGTTGAATTTTGAAAATCTCGGGCACTAGAGAAGTATTCCATTTACCAACAGCCGTGAAAATTCCAAATCTAATTCAAATATTTTATAGTGCAATTGAAAGAAGATCCTTTCGAAGAGTGGCAAATATTTTTGAAATTGATACTTTATTTACTTTTAATTCTTAAAAGTTTCATTTTGCCTTTTATTTAGTTCTTGAATGTATTAATTTACTCATTTTTTAATCTTTTAAGAAACCAATTGGTTCCTGAATGTATTGCTATGTATAATTTGGTCCTTGAATGAATTAACTTTGCTTATATTTATATTTTACTCCTATATTACTTAATTTTTTTGTGAGAAAATTACTAAAGTGTGTTTTAGTTAACACATTTAAAGATTAAATTGTACATAGCAAAACTTTTAGTGATTAAAGATTAACAAAATGCTATGTTTAGGGATCAAATTATATATTTACCATATTCTTATTCTAAGCAGTAAACACCTATTATGTATCTGTTTGCTGATAAATTCATCTAAATATTACCAGTGATATTGGACTTCGGATGGGATTTTTCATTTTACTTTATAGCATCTGAGCCGAACTTCATCGCGTCACCTTTGAATTGATCAGATGACTTGTTATTCAGATAATTTAAGAATGATAACTGTTATTGTGATTAAAGCAGCAATTGGGTCGGCCAATTATTGTCTTGCACAGCAAAGGCAAAACCAATTTGAATAATGTCATAGAATATATGAAACTCATGATCATTTGAAGTCCATACACTAAGTTGAAGAAAGACCCATTACTTCAACACTTAACAATGTCACGAATCAAACATTCCAAAGCAAATAATTGGTTTTTATATCTAAAACACGACCTCATGCTAGAGCCCTTTGGCTTGAAGCAACCACATGGTTATAGAGAGGCTTTGATACTATATCATGAACCAACTATTCAAATGTTTAAGCTATGAAATGAATGCACACGAATGATTTTATATATCAAACAAACAAATCAAGAGACAACTCCCTAGAGCACAGTTTCCTCTGGTATTCATAAATGAAATATTGTGAAGAGCCAGCTGAAATTGTTCTCAAATGAGTTATCATTTTACAGGCAACTATATGACTTGGATTTCACTTCCTTGTCCGGTTCACAATTTTCTGGGAAACACTTGCACTTCTTTTAGACCCTCTGGACAAACTTGATCCTCCATGGCCAACTCTTCTTAATGACCTTCTCTCCGAGCTCCACTTGCCGTTGCCAAGGGCGGCTCGGGCAACACTATCGCTGAATATTTCACGCACCCTCTGAGCCTTAAGAGGTTGCTTATTCAGGTACACCAGTTTTGGAAGAAGGCCACAAACTGCTTTGCTTAGCTGGTCATCACTGATGTTGCTTTGAATGGGATTTCCAAGTAGATTAAGGGCCTGAAGTGAGTTATAATTAGCCACAAGCTGGCCTAATGCTTTTGTTGTTGTGATCTTGTTGAAGCTCAGGTCTAGAACTGTTAGCTTCAATAGCCTGTGTAGCCCCTCAACATCACTTATTTTGTTCCCCACAAGATATAGCTCTTTGATGAGTGTACAACTTGACAACCCTGACGAATCACATAGTGAATAAGTGTCATGTAGAAAACACTTTAAGGAAGGCAAACATATTTGAAATAGATACTAACCTTGTCCAATTCTTGAGATGCGATTGTAACTTAGGTCTAGTACTCGCAGCCGGGTCAATTCTCTGAGACCCTCAAGGGTGCTGATCTTGTTTCTTGACACATTAAGTGTTTGGATACCCTTTGGAAGAAATCCTGTGGATATGTGAACTGCAGATGAATGGGGAAGTGAATCAATCAATAAAATTAGTGATTATTTGGTGTTGCATTCAGAGCTATATTATACTTTCCAAGTTATACCTATGACATTGTTTGACAAGTTGACAGAGCGTAGATTGGATAAGTGTGAAATTGCAGGGATGGTTTTTATACCAATACTTGATATGTGAGCAATAGTTGAAGCTGGATTCAGAGCCTGGACTACACTATTTGCATTCAAAATATCCTTTGAAAGATTGGCATCTTGATTAGTCAACTGAGATCTGGTTCTTGTCATTGATCTACGGGCATCAGGAGAAGGTGGAAAGACAATGCTTCTGGCATTGCCATCATCAAAATCATCTTCAGGAAGTGGTTGCTGAATTTCAAGATTTTTCACCCATGCATCCACTCTGGCAAAAGAGGATGAGTCTGTTGAGAAAGCAATCAATTGGTTTTGGGGACAGAAACCAGAATTTTCATTTTGAACCTCGCTCCCCCTTTGCGTATCAATATTTTTGCTAACGCTGCTTTTGTTAAAGGATTCTATTGTAATTGATTCAGAAGATTTCACATATCTCAATTCCTTGCCTTGTTTTGGTTCAAGAGTGTCTGAAGAGTACCCACATTGACTAATTAAGGCAGGACTAGCAGCAGGAACTAGTGTTGATTTGCTAGAGAGTGTTCTATGTATATTCCTGTGACTCCAAAGGATCATCTTCCACCACAAATTTTTACTTCCTGAAGGGAGTAATCGACTTAAAGAATGCCTTCTCAAAACCACTTTATCAGCACTGTAGTGACTCATTACAGACATGGAGCTTTCAAGATTATCCATTGCTGAAAAACCCTTAAAATCCTCAAAAGACTGTGACTTTGAAGGAAGAAAGTGATAAGTTATCTGTTTAGGCAAATTCATTTTTGCTAGATCAGAGCAGTATCTCTTGAGCTTTGGAGAGGCCCAGAAATCAGCCTTGCCAATCCCAGGATCACTGACATGTCCACTCTGGGTTGTCTCAACACTCTTTTGGCTGTATCTATCACTTTTGTCTTCCAATTCATTGTTGGCTTGGGTTCCACACAAATTGGGATACTTTACCTTTTTATCTGTTGCATCATATCTTTCTTTGCTTGCAACAGCTTCATGGCATTGGAGATCAAAATCAGAGAGTTCCCTCTTGATCAAAGGCAAATCGTCTTTCTCATCTTTCCCTTTATAAGCTTCCTCTACTTCAGTCTTCACAGGACTCTCAAGACTCACAACCTTTGCATTGAGCCTTTGATTTTCCTGGATACCATTGCCTACTGCAACATCAAAAGTGCTTGAATCTAAATCACGTGTCGCTGATGATAATCTTGAAGCTTGTAGTTTGGCAAGTAGAATGTTGAAGTCCTTTTTTGAAGACTTCTCATTCCCCTGAAGAAACATGCAACATTGAGACTAAAACAAGTTAATGACATGGTTTCCAGAAACCCCACAAAACAAAATAAGACATACGCAATACCCAATTGACATTTACCTTGTTTTTCTCCTTCCTTACATGTAAAAGAGAGAAGCACCTAACCATAGCCATCACAGAAGATGAAGCTTGTTCCAAATCCTTTCAGTCCAACCTTCTTTGCCCCTTTTGAATCCTTTGCACTTTGTAAGCAATCCTATTGCCACTCACATCTCTACTAACTCAGCAATTATCACTTTGGATCAGATGTTAGCCATAATCAATGGGAAGGAGCACGACAAGAGATAAGACCCTCTCTGAACAAAAATGTAAACCGGAAATCAAAAGACCAAAGTCTCTTCCGGTTTGTGAATATATCTCTAAAGAGTTGGCCAGAGTTGTAATGATCCTCCTCAAATCTCCCCCAATTGTATTTTCTTCTTTTTTCTCTTGAAATATACCTACCCAGTTGAAGATCAATGATCAAATAAGCAAATATCCCGAATATTCATCAAGAAAATTCAAGGACCAACCCCCATTAACACCCCACCAACAAATTCCAAATTAAAATATCACAATCAAATTACTTCACAAAAAACCATCTCTAGAATTCAACATGGACACAACACACTCTTGAGAAATGTACTATGCATTCAATGATCTTAAACAAAAATGACAAAACAAACAGAAGACATCAATGATTGTTAAATGAGCCAAAAGGGTGACACAAATGCCTCGTAATTCTAAAGCAAAACTCAAACAGACACTGCCCCACGTAAATTGCGGCGGGAATTGCGAGCATTGATGCAGAAAAAGTCGAACCTTTTTAAAAAAAGAACCGTGTCATCTCCGTAAACAAATAATAACTCTATGGGACAGTATCTATGCTTTGAGATGAAAAAGAACTAAAGTATAGAGCGTAAGAGAAATAAGTGAAATTGGGGAGGTTAAGGTTGTGGTTGTATTGTGTGTTGGCATGTGATGTCGTATATGAAATGAATGAGAATGGAAAGAAAAACAAAAGTGAATAAGAGGTAGTTATTGTTAGGAATCAGAAAGAGAAGAGAAAGAGAAGACAAGCACAACCAACACAGTGTCTTTCCACCTGTTAGGTCACGGAACTACGTGTGCTATTCCAATAATTTAGCCAACCTATATATATACCACACACATGTACACCATGCATAAAACAGTACATATTCTATAAAATTATTTTTCTCCAAAAGGCTAAAATTTTCTAGCATTTTTTTTATTTCTGAGTTCTCATGAATAATAAGAAAAGAGGATTCGCCAACAACAATATTGTTGATAAATTTCAAAATCCGATCAAATTTATAAGAATTTAATTAAAATATATTGATAATGTACAAAAATTATATTATTATTTAATTATTAATTATTATATCAGTAAAAATTAATATTTTAATGTTGTAAAAATTAAGATGTCGTGTTATTTATATAAATTTTACACAATTTTTGGTATTAACAGGTATTATTCTACTTTTATAATTTTTCTAAAGTATATGTGTGAATATTCTGTAAAGAAAACTAAACATATTTTATTGAATATTTTAAATTTATTTTATTGCTAGAATATATGAGAGTACTTTAAAAAATTCTATTCTTGAACATAACTGATTAGGGAAATCTGACTCATTGATATCTGAATAAAAGAATGATTATTTAGGAGAAATGTGTGCTCTCTGGAATTACTTGAAAGGAAAATTTAGAAACGCAATGCATATGATTCAATTTCTGCGGATGCGTTGAGAAAATGGTAGACAATGACGATGCTGAATGGAACGCTGGTTTGACAGGCCACAAAAGGAAGGATCTAATCTCAAATTTTCAAGACCTTAGAATTTTGTAATAGTAATACAATTAATTATGCTAAAACTTAAAATGTAAGATAAATAATGATATTCGTTTCTTAAATTAATTTCCAAATAAATCAGTTTCCCTTTGCTTCTCATATCCCTATTCATCTTTTTTTATTCTCTCTGCTAAAATAGGCATAGATTAAGATGATTAATATTTTCTCCATCTCATATTATATCTCTCTTTGTGTATGTTCTACATATAGATACCTTTTTTGGATACGGCTTCTTTAAATTTTTAAGTTTGTCTTAAAATGTTTATGATTTTAAAATCTAAGAAAATTAATTAATTTTATTATTAATAATACCTCATTTATTGGTATCTTACGTAAACACTTAAATGGATTCACAATTATTATATCTTAACTCTTTTGTAATAAGGATATTTTATCAAAGAAAGATATTTTTATAGTAATTTATATAATTAATAATTTTTTAATTAACTGTTGTTTAAAAATATTGACTAAATCATTAACGTAAAATATTGACTAAATCCTTGTTGTGGTCCTTAAAATAGTAAGTGTTATATATTTTTAATTCTTAACATTTTTAAAATATAATGTTATTTGTTGAGTTTTAAGTTTATAAACTTAAACACTAACAGAATTTTGACATATCACATTAAATAACAAGTATGATTAATTATATAGTAAAAATGTTATGATACATGTTTTTAATTCAGTTTAATTCTTGAAATTGTCACTGACAGACATTTTAGTTTTCAAAATTGTCATCGACAAATATTTTAATCTCTAGTTCTTAAAACATTTCATTTATTCATCATTTTTCTTCTTCTTTATCTTTATTCTCCATCACCAAAAACTATTATCGTCAGTCACCATCTGCGTTTTTTATTGGCAACCCAAGTTTATATTTGTTCTAAAACTTGGTCTCTCTATCCCTTCAACTCCCCCTCCCTCCCTCCCCAAACTATTGTTTGATAGTAATTTTCAAGCTCATGGAGTCTAATGATAGGCAACAGCGTGACAACATCAACATCAAAGTTTAAGAAATATGAAAAAAAATGTATATCTTCAATATTTTGAATTAAAGTACTCATGAAAGCGACGGTTGCATGAGGATTAATCGATAACGTACAAAGTAAAATCATGATTTTGTACCGCCACCATTTGAGACAAATAGAAGTACAACTTAGAATAGTCAAATTCAAGATCACTTTCCACCCCTTAATCAAAACTAAGGTTGAATTTTGTCCTAATAGCACCTTAAACAATGCCTTTGCCACCAACAAAGAACGTAAATGTTGTTCGTCAATGGTAGTTTTTAGTGATGGAGAATGAAAAAGAAGGATGGGTAAATGGAATATTTTAAGAACTAGGACTAAAATGTTTGTCAATGACAATTTTAGAAACTAAAATACTTGATGAGTGATAATTTTAATGACTAATATATATATATATATATATATATAACATACATGTCATTTAATATAACATTTCAGTACGTTATTACTGTTTATTAGTAGTGTTTTGATGGAAGGACTTAAATGTCTGACAAAAATAAAAGTAAAAAATAATGTAATATTTTTAAAATTTCAGAGACTAAAATATTTAATGCTTACAATTTTGAGAACCAAAATAAAAATTTAGTCATATAACATTTTATTAAAAATATGACTTTTAATATTACTAATAATCTTTATTGAAAACTCTAATGAAATCCCAACCTTATTTTATATTAGTTGAATAATTAATATTGATTTAGTTGCATTTCTATTTTTTTTCTACTTGTTTATATTTGGAATAAATTTAATCAACTTTTATATTAAAAAAAAGAATACTCTATCTAAGAAATGAGACGATCGAGAAGGTTGCTTTCTTTGACAATTAGTCATGTGTATTTTTTTTATTTAAAATTGACTAAAAAATAAATGAAGTACACTTTATTTATTTATTTACTTTTTAATTACTTGTTTTTTATTAATTTTATTTAAAATTTTAAATAAAAATTTTTACTTAAATTTTTTATTATCTTGTATAATTTTTTATTTTTCATGAATACTTATGTTTTATCCTTATAAAAATTTTCATATTATATTATATGAAGTTTTAAATGATTTTGTACATATGCTTATATTTATAAAAAATGATTAACATATAAAATTTTAAATTTCTTGCAAATATCTATTTATATTTATAAAATTTATAATATTCAATTTTTTATCAACATTATTCTCAATCAATATTCTCAGTATTTATGCACATTTAGTTTTATACAAAAAAAAAAAAAAAAACCTTTCTCGGCTAGAAATTGCTAAGTATATAACTTTCGTCAATTTTTCTCTAAATTTGTATTATTATCAAATACTATTTTTTAAATTTAATTATAACATATTTATTTTTAATATTAATATGTAAAACTATTTTACTCTTCTCTCCGTTGCAGTATATAAAATATGTGTACTTTTTTACGATTACATATTTTTAACATAAAATTATACATATAAATTGTTCAATCCTTTTTAGAAGCTATTTTAAAAATACAAATATATTTACATATAAGTTTTACCATATGATCTTATTTATTTTCTATTTTTTAATTTATATTTTACTTTTAAGAGAATTATCTCTTAAATTTATAATTATTAATATATATTAATAATAAATATTTTCTAAAAAATTTACATTATATGATAAAAATATTATTTTAAATAAATTATATTTTAAAATTATTTAATTTGTTAAATATTTATTATTTTGATGATAATATTTGTATTATAAAATTAAATTAAATTATTTTTAAAAAAAATATAATTAAAAATAATTTTATTACACATGCTTTTATATATACTTATTTGAAAAAGATAAATGTTTATTTTTTAATTATTAAATTATATATATACCCGTGAATTTAACGGATTATTAACTAGGATTCTAATAAATATGTGAAAATAATTTTATAAAAGAGAGGAAACAACATCTGTAGAAATGACACATGGTGAATTCTACATACAATAGTATTATTATTATATACTGTATACTACGTATTAAATTGATGTTAGATATTAGACTCTCATATTACATTGAAAACTCTGGTTAAAAATTTTGCATATTCAATTTATTTATTTTTTTTGAAAAAAAGTCTTAATTTTATAATTGGATTTAGCTTTGCACCGAAAATGAATCAAGTAGTCAACGAATATTGACCAGAAAAATATACGGTGAGAATTCAATAAATATACATTTTTATTTATTCTTTTTTCTTTTCTTCCTAACTTGCTAAGTAAATTATTAGGTGGAGAAAATCATAATAAGAAAATTTTGAAACTATGTAGATGTTAAGAAAAATACTTTTGTACAAGTTTTTCAAAGTTCTGAAAAAGAAATTGATCATTTCTAAAAAGATATATAACAAATATGAAATGCATTTATGTGCGAGTGTGATAGAAAAAAGTCTATTAAATACTCACTTTTTTTTTCTTATGATAATTTGATAAAATAATTTAGCAGTAATATATGAAAAAAAAAATTATTGAAAGAGTCTATACCCGTTTTAGCAATCTTTTCGCTTCAAAAGAAAAGTCTTCAACTGTCAATTGAAGGACACTCTTGATGTAAAACGAAATAAACTTAAATAAGAAATTTTAGAATTATAAAAAACACTAAATGACAGTACATAAATATTTTTTATAAAAATCTTTGCAGTTATATTCTACAAGAAATTTTCATTTCACAATAAAAAAATAAACTCAAATTTCTTTTTTCTCATTACTCATTTTAAGTATGAGACTGATCTTTATCACTAGAGTCACTATATTTGTACGAGGAAAAAAAATATGAAATAAATAAATTGAGTATAAAAAATAGAAGAAAAATGAATAAGTTCTTATGTCATTTTAATTGAGATAATTAAGAAAATTTTTTAAAAATTATGTTATTACTATTTTCTTTTAAATTATCTGTCATTTCCTACAAACCATCTATCATTTAAGATAACACACATATTTCTAAAAATTATTGAATTTTATTATAACATTTTTTTTTATTAAAATACTCTTATTAAGAGTATTAGAGTATAAACGTAATTATTTAAAAATATTTATTAATTTGGGATTTATGTTCTTAGGACCCTCTAACCTCCATCCATTCATTCAATTGAAGACTT